CACAGAAATAATGATGATGATAATTGACAAGGACAGCCTGAGGTGATTCCATAAATTCTTGTTAGGTGAGGTAGCAGGTACAGAAGCAATCTTGTCTCTTAGCTGTCAATAAGTGCCAGGTACCATGGCATCCCTTTATGTCTAGGACAGTTCTCAACCTCCAAAAGCCCACTACTATAACAAAGCAACTAGACTGCTATGATGCTCAGCCTCAAACTTGGGCCAGTCACAAGTATGCAGATTCACTGCACATGTATGTTCTGCATATCCTGCTGTACAATCTATAGGATCCATAGTTGTTGATTTATTATTCAAGTTTCAGGGTATAATGAAGGAGTTCGAGTCCCACTACAGGGGTTTGCTGGATTCCCAGCACAGATTACCATTTTGTTGATGCACAGCCCAGTAACCAGCAACTCACCGCCTGTGTAAGACCAAAGGGACATTAAATATCTAAAAACTAAGCCAGGAAGCGTATTATACCTCAACAAAAAGGATAAAAACAATTTCCCACTTGACTGATTGTTTATAAAAGGTCCAGATGCAAAGGAGGGATCTATAGCTACCGAAATCACAAGGCATCCCCAGGAAATGTCTGGGCTTTGCAGTTGCACAGATGCCTGTAACACACCCTCCCCTCCTGTTAGAGATGTTCTAAAGCAAAGGAAAACAGCAACATTCAAAAAATCAGAGACATGCTGTCAACTTGATAGCGGGCAACGTACAGGGAAAAAGACATCCCTCAGACCTGAGCTAAACCAGAAAGCACACATGGGCTTGAATTCTTTTTCTTCTTTCTAAACTTACTGACCACATTTGGGTTTCTGGAGAGAAAGCAGAGTTCCACCACAAGCAAAGTCTGGGCTAAGGGTGAACTCAGGGTAGCTGCTGAACAGCTGGCCTTCCTCCCCTGCAGAGAAGGTGGTGCTTAACACCAGGGTATGGATGATTTGCGGAGCCAAACCTCCACGTGGTGGTGATGCAGGGGAGCAAGAGCCTGCTTGGAAGGTGATCAGCGCTGTTTGGAAAAGCTCTTTGGCAAGCAGCAGTAAAATAAGGACACGGCCCTGAGGGATCTGGAGGGAACATGAAAAATAAGGGCGATGAGATGAGCCACTGGTAAATATGTTGTAATATAACAAAGACAAGACAATTTGGATAAACTGGGGAAAGGTGGTACCAGTGCCCAGATTAGTTCCTGTAATGGAGGACTTCCCACCAATACAACGTGGGATCTACTGAGAGAAATCTGGGGATTGCTTGGTGGCCATGAAAAAACGGCTTTGCCCACGTTTCTGAAAATGAATGCACCGCTGATGTGCTGCGAAGGTCATGAGCTAAGATGGCCAGCTTGGCACTAAGGCCAGAGAGAAGGACTGTCCTGGAGTCTCCCACCAGGCCTGCTTCCCTGCAGGTGAGCAGAGGGGTCAGGTGAAGTCGCAGACTGAGGGAAAACCAGCATTACACAGTTCCCACTCCAGCCTCCCTCCTGCAGGCTTCAGCTGTCTAAAATCAGCTGCCTTTGCTGGCAGCAGGCCAGCTTGCCTCCATGAAGGAACCAGTCCCATATGCTAGGCTGACAAAAAAACACCCTAAAAACCACTTTCTTCAGAAACACCTAAGTCTTTGGCTTTCCTTTTGTTTCTGTTGGCTTTAGTCCACTCTTAGTCATCACTGTGGTAGCAATGGCATCCAAAGCCTGCCCTTTCCTACTCTCCACTATGGATGTAAATATTAATGGTGCACAGCATAACAAAAATAATTAACAGTTTCATTTTCAGAGCTGTGTAAATGTTGACCATTTAATCTTCACATCAAACTGGAAAACTAGGTACTGTCTCCAGAACCCTAAATTACACAATCCCGGAGCTGCAGCTCCCTGGATCCTTCCCTTGGCTGTTCTCCTGACTCTGTGGCAGCTCTTCAATGCACTCCCTGCTCACTCTTCTCTTCATACAGTGACACTGAGCTATCTTCTGAAGAACAAAAAGAGTCTTGACCATTCTGCTTTTCCCCATCTCTCTTTCCCTTTTTGAAGTGAGGGACCATTACCTCTCCTTTCTTCGGTCCTCTGCTTGTTTGTCCATTTTGGCTGTACACCAAAATCACAACAGAGTGGGAGGGAGGTTACAACGGGTGCACCATGAGTCAGGCTTGGACAGGGACTCCTCAGACATTGCTGCAATGAAAAATTGGGTGTACCCATTGGAAAGTAATCACAGGAGCCACCTGATACAAGGTCCTGGTCGTTATTTTCTTGAGGTGTTTTCTCCAAATATTGATGTTTCAGTGAAACATAAGAAATATATTTAACTGCCTTTAATTCTTTTGTGCAATTTCTGCCCCAGGGTGTTAGACACTATTACTGTGTGCTGTTAAATACCTGTTGAGTTTATTCCACGGTGACTAAAATAATTATTTTTCTAGTTACTAAAGCATTTGGAGAGCTTCCAGGATGAAAGTGAATATAGAAATGCTAAACATTTACTATTCTAACAGACAGCCATCAGTGCTTTATGAACTATCCCATTACATCCAAAAAAATATCACTGTGATTTCACAAATGAAATCTTGACAACATTTGCTTTAAATTGAAAGACTCTATTTCTGCTATATCAAGAACAGTGTTAATATCGATCCTGGTGCTCTACAGAGCAAACTAATCTTTTCATTGTGGCACTATTGAAAATCTGGTCTAGTACACTGGTAAAAGTGCATCTTTCAAAGTTACCAACATTGAGAAAGCAAATCGTTACATTCTTCATTAATTAAAAATGGCTTATAATAACATTAATGATCTTTTCATCAGAGTATGTAATTTAGGTAATGGCAGCCTACCCCATTAACTTCTCCTGGATTTACCTTGGCCTTCTAACTCCTCCAACTGATTATTACCTAATTTGTGAAGTCTCCCAAATGGGTCATTAGCTCTTAAAGAGATGTCTCCTGCTGTTTGGTATATACCCTAGAAACAGTAGGCTGTCAGAGAGAGAGCTAGTTTCAAACTAGCTCTTTCTGGGGGGAAAAAAAAAAGTTAAAGAAATGCCAGATTAAATCAAGTTTGTGAAGTGAATCATGGCTTGAAATATCCCCAATACATGACTAAGTAAGACATCACACAGATTTTTTTTTTTTCCCCACAAAAGAGGACTGGCAGCAGAGCATATGCCAGCATATGTGCCCTTGTAAGCACCTGCAATTCCTGCTGCTTCCAGTCCCTAACAGCAATTGTGCAACCAGGCAGCCATCTAATGTGCTAAACTAGGAAACCAAGGAGAAAGGCTCATGGGACCAGGCCCTGTACTCCTCACACGGAGACCTTCCCTCTCGGCTTCCCCAGTCCAGGTTAGAAATTGTGAACCAAAGGCAGAGCAACCTGAGACTGCAGGACCAGCAGCATTTGGTTCAAGTCCATGAACACCCAGGGCAATGCCACATTGGCCAACCAATTAGTGATAATGTCTGCTGCCAAGGGAGAAAAGCAAAAGATCTTTTGGCCTTTCTCGACCATAGGTTACATGTACAGGTTTGTGGGTTTTTTCCTTTACAATATGATGTAGGGTAATGAGATGAAAAAAGTGAGTGTGACTAAGTAAAAACTCTTTGTATTAATGCACTGATCCACAAGCTATTCCTGCCAAACAGAATAAGTGACCACTGGCTGGCAATATCTGCACTGCAGGAACTTTGAATGAAGAGGTGTTGAACAAATTACATGTTTCCACACAAAGAATCACGGCACCATAGAGTGGTTTGGGTTGGAAGGGACCTTAAAGATTATCTCATTCCATCCCCCTGCCATGGGCAAGGACACCTCCCACTAGACCAGGTTGCTCCAAGCCCCATTCAATGTGGTCCTGAACACTTCCAGGGATGGGGCAGCCACAGCTTCTCTGGGCAAACCTGTTCCAGTGTTTCACCACCCTCACAGTGAGGAATTTCTTCCTAATACCTAATTTAATTCTACCCTCTGAAACCATTCCTGCTTGTCCCCTACACGCTTTTGTAAAAATCCCCACTCTAGGCTCCTGGTAGCCCCCTTTAGGTACTGCAACACTTCAATTTTTTCAACTAAACTTAACTTATATAACTTCACTATTGGCAAGTGCTTCCATTTGTTTAGCAGCAACTTCTTTGTTCTATTCCTTTACTTTTGTAAATATCTCAAGACTCCCTCCTCCTCTCCATTTCTCTCAGTTTTCCTTATTTTCACTGCAATCATCACCTCTTTATAAAATTAAGCTACTCTGTACTAGTTCTACCTGGTTTGCTGAAATGCCAACACCTATGTTTTATGCCTGTAGCAAGGACAAGACATGTGGTGTCCTCCGAGATTAAAATCAATGTCTAGTATGTCCCAGTACTATGGGGATCTGTAGAACATTAATTAACATACAAAAATCAACATTCTCCACTGCTGTTTTCATAGCAAACAAATAGCTCTAAATCAGTACAAAATTCTCAACTTCCCATTTCCATCATTTTCCCTGGAATAAGTCAAGTAAACATTGTAGGTACTTTGGTCACTATGACCTTTATGCAACATCATAAGATATGCAACATCAGAGGCAACATGTAATCCCAAGGCTGAAAAATAGGGAACTCTGTGATCAAAGACTTTTAGTCATTTTCCAGAAATTCCTTTTTATGTAAGAAATCTGTTTCATAACTTGTTCTGACAAATGTCACGGCTGGAGAAATTCTTTCTCTCAGGGAAGATTTATGATCCATAGGATGGTTTTCTTTCTCCGTGTTCTTCAGAAGAACGGATTCAACGAATACAAACTGCTCATTGATTTGTGTTTCTCCATGTTCCGCACAAAGAAATAAAATACAGGAACGAGAAAATGACAATACTCATTATCTATAGGTAACTTCTTGGCACCAAAATATCATCCAGTGTGATCAACTAGAAAGTGCTGAGGTACTAGCATAGAATGATGCAGCAGGAACTGCGTTTTCTGCAGCAAGACCTGTGTTTATTCTGTTCTTCATGCTGGTCACCATGTTGGCAGGCACATCAACAGCAGCAGACGGTTTTGAGTAGGGACTGCCAAAACACCACACACAGAAGGTTGCCCCCTTCATGGGAGGATTTCAACTGGGATCTCTTGAGCGGTCAGGGCAACAGCTGAAATGTCACAGGAGACGTCACAGAGCAGAAGTAATTTTAAGGATAAGCCAGTTCAGGACTTGTCACCTCTGAACAACAAAACAGAAATGAGAATTGAACTCTCGTTAACCAGCAGCAACCAAAAACCTGGGACGCAGTTCAGTTTTCCTCTGACTGGGTCACAAATGCCTTGGTAGCTAATGGGCTGATGACCCATGGCTCAGTTCGGCCAAGGGCCACAACACAGATCTTCTGAACTTACACTGGTGAGGACTGAGGCCATTTGTGCTTCTAAGCGGGGTTTCAAGGGGATAAGTTTAGTCAGCCTGCAAAGGACAAGTAGACAGAACTGCAAAATCTGAGCAAGAACAGTCAGTAAGGTCTTGTTTCGAGAATGCCTTTGAATAACTTGTATACACAAAGTTAAATGTTGCTTGAGTTCTTCCCTGAACGAGGACTGAACGCCAAAAGTATCAGACTTGGGGGGTAATGAGGGGTTGTCAGTTGACTTCACTGGGATATGATACCATGTTTTGCAAGCTGCGTTTTTATTCATTACTACATGGATACACCTGAAAATAAGATGAGGGCTACACTGGAAAACATTTAAATGCATTCTGATCTCCAGGAATCAGCAGTAACCTGCAGTCTCTCCCTCTGAGATGGACCTGATGTCATAGCTGTCCTGAACTCTAGGTACTGTATTTTTGGCTGTAGCTTTCTCAAACTGCCCAGACACCCAATTCAAACTGAGGACATTCAGCACTTTTAAACCCCTGCACTGCCTTTGTAGTTTGCATATAAATCTGAGGAAAAATAACAGTCTTACCACTGAAGGATGATGCTTTAGGCAGTGGAATATTCTTTGCTGAATTACAGTTAGCCTCCTAAGGACATGCAACATTTTAAATCATAAAGGTCTGAACTGTATATAGCAAAGAATAGGTAATTTTGAACAATATGCATGACAAATGCAAAAAGTATTACTTAGTGACCTAGAGTTTTAAAATGCCCAAGAAAACATTAAAAACTAACAAGATCCTCACAGTCTCTATGCTCATCTCTTTGGCCTGAAGTATGAATATCCTTATTACTGGTAAACAATATGATTTAAAAAAAAAATAGCCTTTATGCAATTCAATTGAAGACAAACCTAAGATGTTTTAATATTTGGTTTGCATTTCTTCTATCACTTTTGAGTTTTGCCATTCAGTATTTTTATAATAAAATCCACGTATCATTTGCTGATAAAAAAGGTATTGTAGCATATTTCCAATGTAAAGGGTATTTAAGTCCAGGCAAAAGCAAATCAGCTATAAATTAGTGTATTCAACATACAAAAATGCTCTTTATGTTAACACTTTAGTTTACAAACTAGTCTCAAACTGTTGGCAATTTAAACAACCTGCTCTTGGCCAAAAATAATACCCATCATTTTTTAGTTATTGCATAGGTTCAACAGCACTTCTCCTTGTAACATGCTTATCAGACCAATATGCACAGTGATCATTGGGTATTATCAGCTGGAAGTGGGAAATGAAAACAGCTTCAGTATTCCTTGTTCTTCCTTATTCCCCTTGTTTCCAGGAAGGCATAGTGGTTACTTCAAGAAAACAGATGGAATTTTCCCCCCAAAATAAGCCCCAGCAGCTGCCTCTTGTGCTTTTGAAACAGCCTGCTGAACCATTTGCACCACTTGCATGTTCCCACATGGGAAAAGCCCCACTCCCACGTGCTGCAGCTGAAGGTAAGACTGATGCTGAGCACTACTCAGCAGACACTAACTTACAGGAACTGTTTCTTTGGTCATGCATTGTTTAGTCACGAAACATGACGGTCCACAGTGGACAGGATTTTTCTTCATCCTGAGCCATGGCAGCCTTTCCAGGTTATTCCAATGCCGGGCCATACATGTCCATGCACACCCCACCCTATTTTGTCCCTGAGCCGGTAACATTGTCCCAACAGTGCTGGCTGTTGCAACATGCACTCAATATCCATGTGAAGACATGTAACTATTTCCCTGAATATCCAGGGTATGGAGGGGGTGGGGGATACTGTATCGAAGTCTGTGGGGTTGGAGTATAAGGTGGAGGTAGGTCAGCTGGGTACTCCATTTCGAATTCATAACTGTATGGTGGTGGAGCCACTGAAATGGGAGAAAAAAGAAGACATAGTTAAAAATCTGTTTTTCAGATGCAGCCCTCAAGTATTTCCTTGTTGACATCCAGATTTCCACACAACTGATACAAAATCTCCTGGCAATGCATTCAGTTGTTTTTCAGGCTGCCCTTATACAGTCACTTCACATCAGTGAGAGTCTTTGCTTATTGCCCTTTCCTTCCCTTCTTAGCCGTGTGCCACCAACGTGCTGTGCTGGTAACAGTGTCTGAATGGCTGTATAGGAGGGAATGTGGCAGAGCTAAACTTAATTCCGGGAAGGAAGGCTGGGTGTCTATCAGATCCACTCCCTTCCACCTCCTTCAGCAGCAACATGGAATTTATGTTGTCCCAAAATGACAGGGCAGCCAGGGCTCTTGATTTCCACAGACCCTCTGGATCCCCAGGAGATGTGTGACATTCCACACCACGGCAAGCACAGCAGCATCACACCTCCCAGGGCAAACGCCGGACATCCCACCACGGCTCAGGCTGAGGAAGAACAAAGCCTTCCCCTTGTTCATACCCATGGAGACATCTGAGGAGAACCCAGCATTTATAAACCAGGTCATGCATTTAGGAGACAGCAAAAACATTCACCAGTAGCTGAAAACATTTTCTCAATTTCTTCTATTCACCTCAGAGAAGACAGATCCATTCAGTGACAAAAGACAGTAAATGCTGCAGAATGATAGCACGGTAGGAACTGCAGGCTCCATATCAACATCCCACTAGAGTAGTCTATAAAATTTTAAGGTCCAGAGTCTGTTCATGTGACCATGTCACTGTTAAGGTCCTGAGTCTGCTCATGTCTCCACTTATGTCACCACAGATGCTTTCCTATTCCCTCCCTAGATGCCTCAGGCAGACTGGCAGTGCAATAGCACTTGCATAGAGAGAAAACAGAAGCCCAGGATGTTCATGATGGGGGGAAGAGATTCAAATCCCAGTTTGCCATGGAAAGCATGCCCTGCTCTTAGAAAACTGAGTTGTTGCTGTGGCTGAGGCCATTCCTGTCCAAAACAGACGGAGGGTTGGTCACAAGCCCTTTGGCCAAAGCCAGATCAGTCATTATTCCAGAAGTGTTCATGACAGCGGGGAACACAAAAATCATTTCAGAGTTTCCCCATCCTCCAAAATCTGCTGCTGCTGCTGAGAGGAAGAACTGCTTGAACTAATGTTTGCACCAGGAACTGCGAGCATGTGGAGTCAAACTGCCTGGAGGTGGAGAGATAAGAGTGAGTCATTGCAGGAGCAGACTTGGGGAGGAAAAGGCTACAGCCCTGGAGTTTTCATTTTGCTCTTGTTTTTACGGCTTGCAGCCACTATTAGTTTCTGAAGTAGCTCTTCAGCAATTCATGGTTGAGAATATTGATGTTTTCTTTCATTTCACACCTCTCTATGCAAAACAATGTTGCAATTACAATGACGATTATAAGAGGCCTTCAGTTTAACTGGAAAGTAGGAGCATGAGGGAGAAAACAGACACTAAGACTGGTAAGTGTGATAAAGGAACACATAATAAACATTGCACAGCTTGCCTATAAGTATACATAATCCACCTGGGGTTTGCTGCAACCTTTGCAGCAGGAGGGAATATAAAGGCAGGGAATCTCTAAGAGTGGGATGGGGGACTTCATGCATGAAACACCTTTGCATTTTATTACTGTGAATTCTCAGAGTTATCCCAAGGCAATCGCTCCTGGATTTATAATTAACAATGTCACTGAATTGCATAAACACTGTTATGCTGCTTCCAGGGTCTGCTTTGCTCTTCAGCACTTTCATGTGCTAGGTGGGGAGTCCAGACAAACGAGCCTTGCAGACCCCAGCTGGCTCAGTGCCACCTCTTTTGGTGCTCCTGTTCCCCAGTCCAGGACTGGTGTGAGTTGACAAGTGTGGTGCAGTGGGTGGCTCTGCAACAGAGCTGGCTCACGAACAGCCTGAGGTACCAGCTCTCACTCATTAGACACAACTGCACTGCACCAGATCCCATGAGGGGTCCCTGCTGTCCCCTGGGGTGCCCCAGAGCCTGTGCAGTTTATCAGCTCAGTGCCAGACCTGGTTTGGGCTCTGTGCCTCCTCTGCTGCTGCCTGCACCTTAAAAAAACATTATATCAAAACCATGTGAACCCACAGAGGAGCCTGAATTGAGAACTCCAACACTCAGCCAACTTGGACCAAGGTGCAACAGGCACCTCTGCACCATGTCCCTGCCTGTGGCAGAGGGTTGGAACCAGAAGATCTCTAAGGTCCATTCCAACCCAAGCCATTCTAAGATTCTATGACCATTCTCCAAATTCCTATCAGTTCAGGTTAGGCACAGTGCCAGGTGGATACAGAGAGCTACTTGGATCCAGCCCTGCATCCCAGCCAGCAGTCCCTCCTGGGACACACAGCACAGAACACCCTGCAGAGACGCCCGTGTGCCCTTGTAGAAGTCATCTGGGATCCTGCAGCTCCCAGCAGGCCTCGTGAGCTCTGGCCAAGTACCAGCCAGGTCAGGTTGCATTAGACCCCACATCACCACTTTAAGCCTTTGCGCTCTGATCCACAGACCTTATTGTCCAGGTTTTCCCCTCTCCGTGGTATGCCAGGCCCCCATCTTATTGGACAAGGGAAAGGAGCTGGCTGCACGTGAACAAGAACAAATACAAGAACCAGATCACAAAGGAAGAACAACTGATCTGTTGCCAGAGAGCCTCTGGCTCAGGGAGGTCTGTCCTGCACAGCGCAGCACTGCCCTGAGTGAGGACTCAACATGCTCCTGCAGGCACCGCAAGGCACACAGCTGTGTGAGTGTGGCACCTGGCCAGACCTCATTAGCCCACTGAGCAGCTGAATAAATCAGCCTGGGCAGAGTGATGCACCGACAGACACTGCACACACAGAGCTGGCCTGTGTTTCTCTCAGCAGGGAGCTGTGCCGTTCCCCTCCGGACCGAGAGGAGCCTCCTGCTGCTGTCACATCCCTCGTTAACTGTGGAGCTGTAAGCACCCAAGGACAACACTCCTGCCATGACCACAGGCGCTCCTGCAGGGCTGTCACGTTGCCCCCTTACCTGGGTATGTGCTGATGGTGTTGATGTGCGTGGTCCGGATGACCCCTACTCGAGTCCCACGGTTGCTCTTCATGCACATGCAGATACAGATGGCAATCCCAGCTATCACTCCCATTATAAACACTATGCCAAAAACAATTCCAGCTATTGCTGTGCCTCTGCAAGGGGAATGGAAACATGCAGTCAGTCTCAGCCAAATAACGTTTACAAAACAAAATTTTCTTCTCAGGAACAGCCCATATTTAAGAAAATAAATGCATACTGACAACTGAAAATGCTGCAAATTTTGATCCACTGGGGCATGTGAATAGAAAAAAATGAAAGATCTTGGAGACCAATATGAGAAATGCTTTCAAAGTTGCCTTTGCAATTGTGCCAGATCACTCTGCTGATTTACCATATATTAAATCCTCCCATTCCAGGGCCATTTGAATTTAACTACTTTTAAATACTATCAAGAATAATTCCTTCCCTTCTCCCTCATCACACGAGACTTTTTTTCCCCCAGAGGCATTAATATGATATTCTTTTGAAAAGAAAGCGCAAGTTATCCCCAGTAATATATTCCAGAAGCATCCATGTGCATGCTGTGCTTCCACAGGAATACTGTCATTGTTTTATCTCAGGTCAAAAAGTCCTTCTGTTCTGCTTCTAAGACCACAGATTAAGGAGAGCCTCCTCTTCTATAGGATGAGTGGCACAAAGCAGAGTGAATGCCCAGTCTTTCACACATCTGCCACTGCAGCCAGCACAAATATTTGAGGCTTATATGATTTCTTTTAAAATGGTCTAGAGGAAATTTAGCTCAGCCCCTGAAGTAATGAACCAGACTTTCCTTGAAATTATAATATAAAGGAAAGAAAGCCTTATTGCACTGACACATTGGAGAAAAACCTCACCAAGAGGTACTGAAGAGCTCCCAGTAATACTGAGGGTAAAATCAGCCTTTCTGATGAACCCTACTTCACTCAGGTTTGTTGTCAGCCACAGGCAGTGAAGCATATGTTACATGAAAGATGGTATTTACAGCCTACCCTTTTATGAAAAAAGCCCAGTGACTTGCCAGAAATATTCCTACTCTGTGCATCTCTTCATCTCCCAGCAAAGTCTTCCAACAGAAACCTTGCCAGCAACCTTTTCACTGGATATTTTAATCAATCTAAACTGATAGTTTGTGAATGTGAATAAGCCCCACTAGGAATTTTTGCAATTTGGAGAATAAAACAGGCACTGCAATGTAAAAACATTAAAAGGAGTCTAAACCACAGTTTAGCTCCCCCATACATGCATGGGAACGCATAGCAGGCCCAGTCTTCAAAATGCTGATAGCCCGTTGGCTTCCAAACACTCAGCAAGAGTCAGGATGGACTCAATAGCTGAAAAACAAGACCTTTTGTGTAGGAACCTAAATATGAATTTAAGAGCTTGTTTTTAGGCCCCAACTATTCAGGAAGTTGGCCAAGATTTGCAGTACAATCACTGAATTGTACAGCATAAGTAAACACAGACCACTTGCTGTCTTACTGAAATACACTTCCAGGGAGCTAAATTGTTCTCTGCTGTTATGTAGCAATGAATGAAGAGTGTGCAGGGAGAGCAAACCTGTTAATATTTTGTGGAATATATAAAGACCTATTTCACAAAAGCCTAAATCATGACAGCAAGCACCTGGCCATAAAACCAGTAGCTCAAAACACTGAAGTGATAAAGCGCTTTGGTATTAACCACCATGAGTAACTGAGGAGCACACTTACAATAGCTTGCATCCAACAAAAAGGAAGTCTGATCCTCTTGGAAGATGTGACCAAGAGGCCTCCAGTTTTCCCATCCTGCTCTCTCTGGGAACACTATCACTACCTTGAGAGAAACTGCCATATGAGACAACAGTTTGATTCAGGAGACATTTTAACACAATGCTCTCTCCATTCCATAAGGTTTTCTAGTAATACCACAATTAAAAAATCACAGTATCCCTATTATAAACAACAGTGATTAGCATCTGCTCTTGCTCCATCCACTTATTGGATGAATCATGTGAGCTCTGCATCCCAGAGCTGCAGGGATCTCTCTTACACTGAAATAATCCCTCTCCCAGGTGGATTCCCAGCAGCAGAACCAGCCACTGCTGTCCACTGGCCTCCTATCCTGAACTGCACTTCTGCTTTGTTCATTGTCCACTGCTGCCCATGCATCCTGGGCATGCTCCTGCATCCCAGGTACGCTCTGCCTGGCTGATCTTCTCAAATCCCATAAAACACAACAGTTTCTTCCACTTCCAACCAGCTGCACCCTGAGGAAAACTTAACCTCCACCATAAAAAACTCACAAAAGTGGGTAACACAAAGCACATGCTACCTTCCCAGTGCTAGATTAAAATTCCTGGATTAATGAAGTAAATTTTAAACACAGTTTTAAACAGTTTGTCTCAGCTGTCTCCAAAGGCAAAGGTGTCCTGTTTGCTCCAGAAGTGGTCAGCCAGATGCCACATGACATCTGCCCTGAGAGATGGGTTGCGCTCTTCATGGGCAAGACAGCTGCAGAAAGCCCCTCTGCATCTGCCTGCATCTGAAGGCCTCTCAGACTAAACAGAACTATACTGAAAAGCAAAAGGCACTTCTGCCAGCCTAGCAAACCCAGGTCAGTAAGTAAAACAAGGAATTGTAAGCCATTCTTTTGCTGGTCCCCACCATAGCTCCTGCTGGTATAGCCAGAAACAAACATGGTCACCAAAGACAATATTCACCAGCTGAGCTCTGCTGACAAAATTGGCAAGTGCAAGTCTTGCTTGCAGTTCTGAAATCAGGACAAAAAGCGGTTTAAATAGGCAGACCCACTTCTGCCTGTGGATTCAGGTTTTCACACTGCAGTGGTAAATTTAGACCACGTATGGATGGTTACGCAAAGAGAGCCTGAGAGACAGAGCAAAAGATATAGGTCACTTTTAAAATCCAGTTACAGCCTGACTGAGTACCAGGATAAAGGTGCTCACTGGTTCTGGTGGGCTTCAGATCAGACCCAGTGCCATGCACATGAAACAGCTCCAGGAATCAAGTGTTTGAGTTGAAAGGGACCTGTCTGAGAGGACTTAGGGAGATGTACTCTCACACATGTATATAACAGAACACACATATAACACTATGCCACCCTCTGACAATGAGTCAAAATGTAAACCCACCCTGATTCAGAGAGCTGCAGCCCCTCACAATGGCCTCCAGTGAAACCAGGAGCAGTCTGACTCCACACATCAGGCTGCACCTTCTCCACACCAAATCCTGGCAGAACTATGGTCATGCAGTAGCTGTCCTGGGCATGCAGCACAAAAATAAATGCTGTTCTTTTTGTAGAAAGCCTATGGGATGACTAGAATGTATGAAGAAAAATAAGTGTGTGTTTATTGTGAAATGATAAGGTTTATCTTTGCTCTATTATGGGATTTTTGAAAATAAATATCTTATAAGTAAATATCCTTTATTTTATATTAAAACCTGTTTGCTTTGTCCCTCTTTCCCTGGTATTTTAGACTTCTGTACAGAGACACAGAGGGGTACAGTGGGTTTTTGTGCTATCGCCACTGTAGAGCTGTTCAAGGGAAGGCGCCTAAGAAAAAAAGGACACTGGAAAGCAAAAGAAGACCTAGAAACCACACAACAGAATTATAGAGAACTGCAAGTTTGAAAGAAAAGGGAAAACTTTGACATTTAACAATTTGAAGGAAACCATGAATCTTATGGCTCAATAAATTAGTGTTTCCTGAAGGAAGGATGATTGCTGAATAGGAATCAATTTTTAAATGCACTGCCCAAATTTGGGAGCCAGGTGTACATGGCCCACACTGTTGTATGGCAGGGACTTTGTAGTCCATTGGCCTCTGTTTCTCCTTCTTGAGTTCTGCCCTAACTTCATACGTGGTATGGAGCTTTTAAAAAAGGGGGAAAACATTCTCTCCTGGCCTTTTCCAAAGAGTTGCCTCCTCAGCAACTTTCTGACACAGACAGGTTGGTTTCATTTTTAACTAAGTGGGTTTCTTTGCAAATCTGTCCAGCCTCATCCTAAAATCATGCAAATTTTAGCATCCACAGCCTCACATGGCAAAGAGTTCCCCAGCTTAATTGTAATAGAATCACAGAATCATAGCATGGGTAGGGGTGGAAGGGACCTTAAAGATCATCTCATTCCAAACCCCGTGCTGTGCACAGGGACACCTTACAGCACACCAGGTTGCTCCAAGCCTTGTCCAACCTGGCCTTGAACACCTTCAGGTATGGGGCATCCACAGCTTCTGCGGGCAACCTGTGCCAGTGCTTCACCAACCCCTGAGTAAAGAATTTCTTCCTAATATCTAATATAAACATCTGACAAACTGTCCCCTCTGGACTATTCTGAACTGAATGCCCAATAGTTTCACGTGAGGCTCCCAGCCCTCAGCTCATCACCCACCAGCAAGCCCTTCCTTCTGCACAGCCCATGGTTTTAGAGACCTTTAGCATCCCCCTTGGCAGCCAACTCTTCCATGTCCTGCAGGAGCCCAGGCTGTTCTGCAGGAGCCCTCTTGGCTGTTCTGCCTACAGAGGGACCTCTTCATGCCTTGATCACCCCAGCCACCCCTCCGTGCACTTTTTCTCAACCTCTTCTGTTGTTTTCTGAGAGCCACTGAGCTGCACATTAACATTTGCTGTATTCTTCACTATTTCCTTCCTAAATAATCCACAGTATTAGATTTTATTTTTCTCTTGGCTATCAAACAGTGGGAAACTAAGGTTTTATGGCCCTATTTAACACAGTACCAAGTCTCATTTCTGGGAGGTAATGTCAGTCCAGAGCCCACCAAGTCGTGTGGGAGTTTGGGTTGTTTTCCCCTGGGTGCATTGTGTAGTATTTATGGGCCCTGGATTTTCTGACACGGTGCCTGGACTTGTGTCCTCTACCAGAGGACAGGCTCGAACTAGCACAGGTGAGCTTGAGCCACCAGTTCTGCCAAAGCCCAGTTCACTGTATAATATTGAATTTAGAAACTATCACTGCAGAAGGGGCAGTGCTCTGCACCAGAGATGCATTTATATTGGGATAAAGGCCTTTTCATCCTGTAATTGCTCACGTTAGCAATTTTACAGCAATTTGATCGAGCATGGCAAGTTGTGAGAAGCATGTGAGGATCAGC